CTTTAATCTACTCTATTGAAGTTGTTCTATAGAATTACTAATTCTATAATATGTTACTTTTTAAGAATAGATGTTAGTGATCATGTACACGAAACATCTGAGTACGAGTGATGTCTTCTATCTATCGCAAAATATGTAGATGATAATTCAAATTATTAGATATCGTATTCTTAAATTTTTTATACAACCCACCTTGAATATTTTACATGAAGTGTAGATGACGTGGAAACAAAAGACAATTCCACGATGGCTATAAACGTCTACTTCTTTCATGAAATCAGCTCATGTAACAGCACTTATTCAAATATCTTGGGACGAGCGACAATTATCTTCGACAGAACTTGTGATCTATTTTTCGTCTGATTGCTTATCTACGTTTATTTAAGGTTTGTTCTTCAAATATACTACTTCTGAAAAAAATCATTATCATCCAAAGGCTTTTTGACAGAAACACAAGAAAAAAGGTTGTATATGAAGATAAGACTTTGAAAACAAGATATAATGTAAAGACAATAGAAAAAAATTTACATTTTGCTTGCTCTACTTCATGTCGTTAATAGCAATTTGTTACTTGATTAGTATGAGTTTAGAGATGATTATCATAGCCATTATGAAGCAGCGATTATAATAGTCAAACATCAGTTAATTTCTTTGAAAAATATCAATCGAATTCGTGTTTATAGACAGACTCATGTTGAGACAATATTCACGCTCATTATCAATAATTTAATTGGTTTACATAATGAATTAAATCAAAAAAAAATATTTTATATTTCTGCATGAGTTATTTTCGTTCTAAATTTTGTTTTGTATTTCATTGAATTACAATAAAAAAAGTGTCGAAGAAAACAATTTATCTAACCCACTGGTTGACATGCAAATAGTGCAGTTAAAAAAGTAAAAGATTTCTGTGTTATGCACGATATTTATGCGATCGTGCCTGTGGATAAGTATTCATTTGAAATAAACAGTTAAATATATATCATTTATAAATTCTATTTTAGAATTTATCAAGACTTTGTATTGGGTCCAAGCCTTTGATTTTTAGCAAGGGATAATGTTTCTTGAGTTGTTGCCTGTTGTACAAAAGGTAATGACCTTTGTAAATGTATAGCCAAATTGAGTGACATGAGCCGTGCAACTAATTATTCGTTAACTACTGGATAATGTTTAATAAAGAAACACCATGGTAACATGGATTCAAAAGTTAACCTTTTGTTGTGTTGGCATCGATACAGATTATAGCTCCTTTTTATTGTATAAAATGCTACGACATATTACAAGTTGATCATAAGATGTATATTAGATACAATTATTTGTGAGCTGATATCTATGTTGAAAGCTAAAATTTGTTTATTACAGAAAATAGATTTAAGACAACCCTAGAGGATATGTAGCAATATAAATAACGGAAGGAAGTGTGTATCTTCCGTATGGTAATTTAATCAGCACATTTGTTAATAGATATTTCATTGGATTGAACAAGAGCACATACGCATCTTATCTAAAAAGAAATCAGCTGTTTGCACAATCACTGCAGGATTAAAATGGGGAACACTATGCATTTGCTATTACCAATCTCAGGAAGACTATTTTATTCTATCGATTTTGGAGCACATTTCTTCATCATCCTTTTACTCAATCCTCCAGAAATGCAATAAGGAAATAGTTCATCTATAGCCAAGAGACGTTATTGAGATGCAGTCTGTCTATCCATATTTTTACCTCTATACTAGTGGTGTATCCAGGGGGAGGTAGAGGGGGTAGTGCCCTCCCACTCGAAGTTTCTCCCCCATCGATGAGGAAAAATCCTAAATAGATGTACAGAGAGCCTTTGAAAACAATGGGGCACCGCCTCGAAAAATGAGGTTTTGCCCTCCCACCGACGATGTTCTGGTTACGCCACTGCTCTATACTCCAATACATTTTAGATCGTGTTTCACAAACATATTTATGCACCCAACATTCTTGATATAATACGAAAGAATCTGAAAGTTTAAAAAGTGACTACAAATCTCATGGTGATTTCGTTTATTTAATAGTGTAATGATTTATCACATTCTATTCAGTATCGTTGAGATTTCAATAGAGGACGCCATATTCGTCATGGCTACCGTCGAATTCAATAATTGTTGCGACCTCTATTTAGCACTTAACATTGTGCAATAGAACTTCATAATTCACTCACGATTAGATCGTGTAAAGTCTTCCTTCACAGTCCTACATTTATCTTACTCTAAAATTAAAACCTTATAGTTGTCTTTTCTTTTTGTCAAGAAAACCGAAATGTTCAACACTCATGCATAATTTTAGCAAAAAGATTGATGAGAAAAACCTTAATAAGACAAAACAGAGAGGAGATTCTCTTATTTCCAATATCTGCTTATCTCGATATTGAAAACTTGTCTGTTCTACAAACTATCAATTTCGTTTTTCAATTATTTTTATGCTCATTCATCATTTAAAACAGATGTATGCAGGAACATCTACTACAAGATAAACTAATCGCCTATCACCAAATGATAAAATAAAAAAGAAAAATTCTTTGGGAATACATTGTAAAACAAATAAGAGCAACAGTGTTATTTGTCCTTAGATTTTTTATTGTTTTGAAATGAAGATAAAAAATTTTTCAACAAAGGGCAATGAAAATGCCCTTAGATTTGATAAGAAAAAAACAATACTATACATGATGATGTAATGTGTTCTGTTTTTTTTTCTCATCGTCATACACGATATACAGTTCGATCGTAGTAAATATTTTTCCCTTTCTATAAGAACGAACAGTTTGTTTGAAGAATATCGGCTTTTTTTTTTGGTTTTTTTTTTTTTATTTTGCTTACATATATAGAAAGATTTATACATGGTATTTATTCTCAATTGCAATAATGGTAAATTCACATCTATTTGTTTTATAAATCTTAGAATATTCTATTCATTGTCATAGACTGAAGAACAACAAATACCACTTCATTCTATATCAGCTGATGTAGTCAAAACATCTGAAAAATCTTCATTATCTTTTATTGAAATTTTATGGCATCGACTACGTGAACATTCGGGAATTTGGTACATGTTAGCAGCAAATATAATATTTTCTTGTTGTACATTTGCATTAAAACTTATTCCAGCTGATATGTTTGATATAATGATTACTCGATTTTTATTACAATCAATAGTATTTGGTTCATATGCTGCTTTTTATAAACATTATAATGTATTTACTACTAATGGACAACCTATTGCTTGTACATTGAATATTTTAATGTCAAGTGGAACAAATTTAACATATTTAGCTGCATTTTATTTTCTTCCATTATCGGATTTAAATGCTATTAAATATACATATATTGTTTGGGCAGCAATATTATCTGTTATATTTTTTAAAGAACATTTTAAGGTTGTGAATGCTATTGCATTAATATTAACAATAGTTGGATTAATACTTGCTACAAAGCCTCAATCTTTAATTAAATTGTTAAGTAGTTTATTTGATCAATCAACATTATCTACAAATATAACATTATCTATGAACAGAACAATATCTACAACTACAATAATATCTTCTACAGAAATCAGCTCATCCTATTATTATTTAGGTATTCTTTTCGCTTTTATATCATCATTAACAAAAGCGACGCAAATGGTTGCGAGAAAACAATTGGTTAAAAAGAAACAACCATATTCTGTGATGAATTTTCAATTCACAGCATTTGCTTTAGTTGTCGCATTGATTTATAGTATTGTTCGAAGATTTTGGCAAACAGATCCATATCCATGGAAATGGATGTTTACAGTTGGTATTGTTCTTGCGTGTTGCTATTTAATAACAAATACATTTTATGCTAAAGCATTAAAAAGAGAAAATGTTCAATTATTGTCTATGCTTGGTACACTTGATATAGTTTATGGTTGTTTATTACAATATATATTTTTTCGACTCACCAGATCTTGGATGTTTTATATCGGAGCTTCATTTATTGTTACATCAGCGATTATACTTTCAATAGATACTTATCTCACGAACAAGAAATCAGAAAAAAGAGAACCAAAACAATAATATTTGATGTATTAAATTTATTTTATTATTGATTAGCTAAAATAGAATTCACTATATTTAGTGATTAAGTATTCCTATGAAATAAGAATTGTCCTAGAAAAGTTATGATTAATTTAGAATGATTTATTTATTATACTTCTATAAATTCTTAACTAAACTAAAGAATGATAATAATTTATCGTTTATATACAACACGAATTCTATTTCACAAAAAAGTGACTAGAACATAATGTATTGGTGTTTTTTATATAAAAACAAATGAAATATTTATAATAAATTAAGATTTGTTATATTTCGTCGTTTAACAAAAATGAATACAGTATTACTACAAGGTACAAAACATGGTGATCATGATGTTTGTATTTTTAACTTCCATTGAATACAGCTTTTATGATATTGAACTTTTTTCAATTTTCTCCTAAAAGATGTTTGTAACCATTCTGTATCTATATCAAGTGTAAAATAACTCTTTCTATATGTGGTTGTAAGTATGAATACGGTGTCTGATCTACAATCATAGTTATCCACACTCCGATCACAAAAAAATATAGTTTTCTATCTCTTTACTTTCAAATGTCACCTGAAGTTGCCTAATTGTTCTGCCAACAGGAAAGTTCACTGGACACATCTACTTATACTATTGAGTAACAGAAGAGAACAATACTCCGTTACAATATTTCTTTCAGTAATGGCCTATCTGGAACCGTTATACAAAGTATAGAATTAATATATTTAAAGGATGTTTATTTTAAAAAAAAATATTTATTCATTAAAAAAATGATTTTAGCAAATATTATGAAGAAAATGAGTTGTTGATGAATGCACACACACACTTGTGATATTGAATTGCAAAATTAAAAACAGCCAAAGCATTAAAAACTGTCTTATTCCTATTCGAAATAGTTCAATGGTGAAAATATCAAACGACATTTTACTTTTTTTATTTACGTCTACGTTTTGCCATAATTACCGTAGCATGCAGCTCTTGTTTGGTTGCCAACTGAAATGCACTCAATCCCTTATACTGTTGATTGCCCCAATTAAAAATCAGGTTACTTTCTATTGCTTTAACACGTTTTTGGTAGTAAATTTGCCAGTCGAATACATTATTTAAACTTCCACTCGGATCTGCATAAAGAATAATATTTTGTGTGCTAGGTTTGACGATATTAGAGTTAACACTATTATTAAAAGCATAAGAAACAACGATTTCTCCACTTCCAGTACGCTTAACATCGTTATATTCGAGTCTATTAGCTTCAAATAAACTATTGATAACACGTCCTCGACTATAGAATAAAATAAAAACAATATTCTATTCAATGTTACA